TAACATAAAATAAACTAAAATATTTTACTCAAGGTATTGATAACATGGCGAACGTAGACAGTCCATTGTTCATTCAGAAATTAACGTCTTATAAGAGCTTGTATTTAGATGTCTCATTCTACGTAGCTCGAATGTCTTTTACCTGTTCTCATTGTCGACGTGGACCTTGCGCCAGCCAATAATCGATGGCATTTTATCAAATCTGTCTCCTGGATGAAATCATCATGTCACCACCAGTCAAAATAAGCAGGAGCCAAAAAGCGAGAGACAAACGTCGCGGCTATAGACGCTCATCTCATCCCTACACTGAGGCTGCCGCGGTTGTTACCCAAAAGAGTCTAGCCAACCAATGGTTAAGCTTTCGGCTCATCGAAGTCATAGCCGAGAGCCATGTGATATCGTCAGATTCAACGGCTGCAGGAGAAAACGCTCAGTTCAATCCAGTTCACTTCATAAAACAGGTGAAAAGGCCCGATACTTATGAATAGCATATTTACCGTGCCGCACTCACGATTTCATCAGTATCATCTGGTGCGTCAAAAGGACCGATGTGACCTGATGAGCTAAGCCCAGGGGAGCATCTCGAATGCGGGGATGATGGGATGATCAGCGAACCTACCCCAGAAACGTCATGAGGCTAAATCGGGGTTTCTGGGGTTGACGTTGCTATTGGTTACGGAGGCTCGAGATTCTCGGCGTAATTAATTCGATAGTGCAGTCGGAAATATGCAAGACGTAACGGTTTCGTGATGGGGAATAATTCCGCGTCTCTGGAGTTGAATATATAAGTGAGATCATTCTGCTAGTAATTTGCATCATCAGTCCTCTTTGTCTTTCGTTCTTCACTGCCATTCTTTCTTCCGGCACTCACGGAGAATGTTTACTCAGATCTTGTATGGACTCACGGCCTTGTCGGCCCTTCAAGGCCAGGCCACTGCATGGCCCGGCGGTTCCAGCCTTGATCGCTTCATTGCAAAAGAGGCCGACATCTCCATCCAGGGCGTCCTTGCCAATATTGGTGCCGATGGCAAGCGAGCTCAGGGCGCTGCACCTGGTGCTGTTGTAGCAAGCCCATCGAGAACAGACCCAGACTGTAAGTCATTATTCAGGATACTATCGAAAATTGATGACTGAGATGTTCTCCAGACTGGTACACATGGACCCGAGACTCCGCCTTGACATACAAAGTCCTTGTCGAGCGCTTCATCCATGGAGACAAGTCGCTCCAGCGCAAGATCGATGAATATGTCTCTGCCCAAGCCAAGCTCCAGGGCGTCACCAACCCATCTGGTGGTCCCGAGACAGGCGGCCTTGGGGAGCCCAAGTTCCACGTCAATCTCACAGCTTTCACAGGATCTTGGGGTCGCCCTCAACGTGATGGCCCTCCTCTGAGAGCTACTGCGTTGACTCTGTACGCCAACTGGCTTGTTTCTCATGGCGACCGCTCCAAGGCTGTCAATAAGGTCTGGCCCGTCATTGAGAAGGATCTTGCATACACTGTCAAGTTCTGGAACAGAACCGGTTATGATCTTTGGGAGGAGGTCAACGGATCTTCATTCTTCACCCTCTCTGCTTCGCATCGTGCTCTCATCGAGGGAGCTGCTCTTGCTAAGAAGCTTGGAAAATCTTGCTCCGACTGCACAGCTAACGCTCCTCGTGTTCTCTGCTTTATGCAGAGCTTCTGGACTGGCAGTTACATTGACTCCAACATCAACGTCAACGATGGCCGCAAGGGCCTTGATGCCAACTCTATTCTGTCCTCGATTCACACCTTTGATCCTTCTTCGAAGTGCACAGACTCAACCTTCCAGCCTTGTTCATCACGGGCTCTTGCGAACCACAAGGCGGTCGTGGACTCTTTCCGCTCCATCTATGGTGTCAACAAGAACAGAGGTAAAGGTAAAGCTGCTGCTGTCGGTCGATACAGCGAGGATGTGTACTACGACGGCAACCCCTGGTACTTGGCCACTCTTGCCGCTGCCGAGCAACTGTACGCTGCTGTCTACCAATGGAACACGATCGGCTCCATCACTGTTGACAGTGTGTCGCTCCCCTTCTTCAGTGACCTTGTAACAAAGGTCTCCAAGGGTACCTACCGCAAGAACAGCAAGACATACAAGGCTATTATCAAGGCTGTGACTTCGTATGCTGATGGCTTCGTGGCTGTTGTGCAGACCTACACTCCCAAGGATGGCTCGCTTGCGGAGCAGTTCGATAAGTCTACTGGAACTCCCAAGTCCGCTGTTCACCTCACCTGGTCCTACGCTTCTTTTGTCGGAGCCGCTGAACGTCGCACTGGTGTAGTTCCTCCAGCTTGGGGCGAGAGCAGCGCCAATGAGGTGCCAGCTGTTTGCGAAGCAGCTCCAGCCTGCGACACCACCATCACATTCAGTGTCAAGAATGTTGACGTAACGTCTGACCAAAAGGTTTACATTGTCGGCGGGATCACCCAACTTTCCAACTGGGCTCCTGCTGACGGCATTGCACTTGAGGAATCCACGAGCACCAAGGGCCTATGGACTGTGAAGGTCAAGATTCCCTCTGACACCAGCTTTGAGTATAAGTATATCAAGAAAACGAGTGATGGAGCTGTTACATGGGAGAGTGACCCTAACAACAGTGCCGCGACGGGTAGCAAATGTGGAAGCAGCAGCACCATCAACGATGAGTGGAGGTAGAAGTTGATTTGATGGGAGTTCCAGTTAGCTTATGTTTGTGTTTCGATAGATAAAAGCAACTCGATAATTATATAAGAGCCAAAACAACACTCTGGGTTGATATTTGAATATTGAGATGCCACGATTATGTTGTTATAACTGGTCTTCTTTTCTCCCTGACACTAACGTAAAATGCCACTATAATGTTCGAATCTGTTGAGGGAGACTGAATAGCATCGGTGTATTGTGTGGCGAAAAGCTCAAGCAGTCGCTGAACGATTCAATCAATACTACGGCAGCTCGGCACTTTAACTTTGTGACCTACCCCTTTGTAGACGATAATAGATAGTGAAAAGTGGGCTAAACCCGCTTGCCCCATTGCGAGACCCAGTCGTCGCATATCAACGATTGGCGAATTGCTGCGTGCTATCTGCAGCCGTATCTGAAGGATTCGAAGCGAAAGTTATAGGATCGAGCTCACAGCAGTTCGTGCAAATAACCCTTTTGCTATTAAGCATAAATGAAGTACATATGACCCATAAAAAAGATACAGTATCCAAAACTTTAACAGAACGTCTAGCCTCGAGTTTTGCAGTTGGTACAGTAGTCCATAATGATAGTACATGAGTTGGAAAGGCGTACATGTCCACAGATATCAACACCGTCATTCGCCTTAGCACTCTCACGACTAAGGAATTTTATGTTAGCATGGTTTCACACCCTCACGGGATTATGACGTACGCTTCTTTGATGTCAGAACCTTTCATGCCAATACCGTAATCGTCGCACTGAAATTTGGCAATGCATGCAGCTTGGCCAACGGATGCCGCTACAAGGATACCTTTGGTCGAACGGCTGTAGCGAGAAGTATAGTCGCTATGTATAGTGTCATCCTCATACTTATCGATCGCTCTGTCGCAAGCCTCACGAAGCCCCTTCTTAGATAGACCATCGCTGGTACCGCATTGTCCACCACCATCGTTATCAACAGCAGTCTGACTCGGCAGTGGAGTAGACACTGTTGAAGGTTCACCTACGCCGACTGACTGGGTGATCTTTGTGATGCCTGGGATGTTGATATAATCGAGCACATAAGCTGACCAGACCAAGACCGTACCATCTGTAGTGGTCGTGATGGGTTGCCGAATAGGCTCATCCGTAATGGGACCAGTCTCAGGTGCCGCAGTGATTTGCGATGGAAACTCTGTGTATGCGACACACTGGTCGTCAACCAAGGTAGTCGTTGCGTAGTATCCCTCACCGCTAACTGTAGTTGAGCATTGACAATATGGCGTCTCAACTGCAGGGCCGCCATGGATGATGCATGGGTAGTAGGCGCGAGTCGCTTCTTCATCGGTAGATGCTGGCATGTCAGTAGTATCACCAGTACCTCTGGTCTTGGTGATCAACGTGCTGGGGGCTGTGGTGACTGAGTATGTATCGGAGGCTGTTGTGAAAGAAACAGTTGTTTCTGTATTCGAAGTCAAACTGCTATTGTGTGCAGTCGTAGAAGATTCGGAGGTGACGGTAGAGACTGCTTCTGTATCGGTCGGACCAGTCATGGTTGACTCGTCCACCGTTGTAGAACCAGAAACAGTGGACGTCTCAGTATCATTCCAACCATCATCGTCACCAAAGATCTCTGCCCATTGTGCTTCCAGAGCTGCGACTATCTCTGGATCAACATCAGCGGTGTAAGCATCCTATGGAATGACAATTGCGGGATTGGTGTTGGGAACGCCAGCCCAGATAAACTCCGATGTCAAAGTCACGGTTTCCGTGGCCTGAGTCTTCGTAGCGCAGCTGACGATTGTTGGACAATTACCAGATTCGGTCCTAAACAATATAATCAGTTACCTTCTAATGTGTCTGAGAGATACGCTTGTTCATACATGATTTGGGTTCCGTCCGAAGTCATGTATGAGATGGTCTTTGTGCAGTCTGGCTGTGTTGCAGCTGTACATTCCTCTGAAGTTGTTTGCTCGTAGGTGCTGGTGGTGGCTGAGGTTGGCTCTGGAGTGGTTGAAAGTACCGTAGATTGGACCGTAGGCATGTCGTCTTCCTTAGTTGAGGCGTCGTCGTCATCACCGTCGTCTTCGTTCTTGTCCCCAGGTTCATTTCCCGGTACAGGGTTGGCAGTCGGCGCAGGAGGCTTTGCTACGGCACCACCTCCACTACCACCGTGAAGCTTCCAAAACCAGCCGAATGGAAAGATAACAATGGCGGCTCCATTGTCATCTGTAGTGGTAGTCGTGCCAGTGGATGAGATGTAGTCTTTATTCTGCTCAGGAACATATGTTGCCACCGTACCATCCATCCCTGTGACAATACCATCTCCCTTTGTCATAGTTGAGGAGACTACGCTACTTGTCGCTGTGGGTAGGTTGGTGGCTTCTGACGCCTTTTCACTAGTTAAGGACTTGGTGTTGGAATTTGTGACTGGCTCGGTTTTATCAAGTGTAGTCGAGGGCGGAGGGCCTTTTGCCGTGTCTGTCAGAGTCATTGTATTTTCCAATACGTTCGTGCCAGATTCCATGGTTGGCTGCGAACTTCCAAGGGTCCGAGAAGCTCCATCAGATACAATCAGGGATTCAGAGGATGGGCCTGTACTATCCAGTTCATCATCGGATTGAATCGTAGTAGTTGTTGAGTCCCATGTACCACTTGTTTGGTCTGGTAGTGTTGTGAATGATAGGCTTGTTGAGTCCTGGAAAGCCTGCGAAGTTTCGCTTGGAAACATTGTCGTCTTGTCAGCGGTACCGAGCTCTTTGGACTCAACTCCACTTCTGGAAGTTTTAGAATTTTCCGGAAGCGCGACAGAAGTGTCCGAATTAGTAAATGAAGTTATTAGAAGGGAGATGTCTGTAGTAGTTGGTTCAGTGGCCCTGCTACTACCAGCATTGTAGGATGTGTTAGGTTCTGGCGTGACGCCAGTGATAGGGTCCGTGGTAGCTGGGACTTGCCCAGTTGACAGACGCGTCGTTTTGAAGAACGGTTCCCCGGTGGAAGGAGTGACGGGAAGTAATCCCGTCCAGTCGAGCTCAATGGAAGTGGCAGAAATGCCCTGGTCATCAGAGACGGGGTCCGAGATACTCTCGGTTGTTTGGCTGAGAACTTCGGAAGTGCCATGATCAATATAAGCATTGGTCTTGGTTTCTGTCTCGAGGCTAGTACTCTCGAACAGAGAAGTTGAGCTAAACGAAGTGCCATCGATCATTCGAAGTGTAGAGGCTGGGAGGAGACTGCGAATCGAAGTTCTGGTGGCATTGCCATGACCTGGAAGAACATCGTTGGCAGAATGAGTAGAAACTGGTGACACACCATACACCTGGGGATATCTTTTCAAAAGGTGAGCGTCGCCTAGAATATTAGCTTGAGACAAGGTCACCAAAAGGCCCAGAAAGATGACAAAAAGCAGGGAACGGCGGGCCATTGTATTGAGGCGATATGGAAAGAAAAATTGAATGAATGAATGGAACAATGGAATGTGAAACTGAGTTGCGATTAGGGAACGATAGAGGAGAAGTCGAGTCTTTGAACATCGCGAACCTGGGGATCGCGAGATACCAGTAACAGCATGCTGGCACGGCCATGATAAGCCAACAGCAGTCTGACCAACACATTGAGGCTGGCGTAATCTATTCGAAAGGTCATCAGTTTCGCGCCGAGATTACGAGGAGCGTAACGCGCAATGTCACCTAATCCAACTGACCAATGTTCATGACCAATTGGGTTGTATTAGTGGGTAGCTGTTGGTTCCAACATCTTTGCAAGTCCTTCTGATATCAGCGGTTCAGGCAGTCAACCGTGCGAAACAGTTGAAACTAAGAAATCCACGGACTAAAATTAACTTGACGGGGATGTTAGCGCTTTGTTTTGGCCCCTGCATAAATCATTCAGGTCATGATGCGACGGTTACAGGGTTGTTGACCAACAACCAACAACCAACAGACTCTATGATTAGTGTTGTAGAGTCCCCAGGACTTACAATTTAGGCACAATATCAGTAGATATGTCTTCTTTTACCACGATGCTTCTAACTTCTCGTTCAGACTCTTCATTTCCATCTCCTTTTGTCACAACTCACTTTCGTTCATTAAGAGCCTCCAAGAGCAGCCATTTCTGAGCTTCTGTTCAATTGATCACTTGTCTATTTGTTTCTTTACTTTATTCTCTTCATAGCTGGTATAAATTACCTTCTTACTGTTCAGCGCCATGGAAATCTTTGGCCGCCTCTGGTTCTTCCTCTGGCTGCTCGCTGTACCCATTTCCACCGCCGAAGGGACTCAAACTACTTCGGCAGCGGATTCCATCGCCACACGCACCAGTCTTCTCAAGATTTGGAAGGTGGACAAAAGTTGCAATGAAGAGCTGGAGTACATGGAGAATTCCATGAGTGTTGCCCTCGATATCGTGACCGCCGCTCACTCTGCTCTCAAATTCATGAGAGAAAAAGCACCAGATAGAAATAAAGATGAGAGTCGGTACCAGCGATGGGCGACCATCTACAAATCTGTTCAAGTCTTTCTTGGCTTCTTGACTAATACGCAACCCAACTATCTCAATGAGCTTATAGGTAAACCTCGACAACACTGGCATGCTACGATACTTATAGCTAACAAGTGTCAAGATCTGTTTGATAAGATGGAAAGAATCATTCCTAGCCAGGAAAACCCCGAGAGGATATGTCAAGAGGCTAGGCAAGCTGCCAGATGCCAAGCCCATGATAATGTGTCGAGATGAAGAGGGTGAGGATAAATGGAAGTGGTATGATGTTGATGATATACTTCCTGGTCAACAAGTGACAATATCCAATATGCATGGTCTTACTAAGTATGCCTTTGATAATTACGGGGCGTGGGTTTATGGTCACCGGTTCACTTGGAAAGCCATGGAAAGGAGAAGCCGATCCTCTGCGACGCAAGCATTTTGGCCGCTGTCGCGTGGGACAAAGACCTAGTAGTGTTTTGTCATCAGCTCTTCACGGCCGAGGCTAAAGCCAAGAAATCTCCCAGGGAGTTCAGAGAGTCTGGCATTATCGCTGGAGAAAGGTTGAGCGAATATGACACGCATCTTTCGATAGTCATGGTTCACTAGCTTATTCACTGGTTCGGCGGCATCACTCAAAATGGAGATCCCGGTAGGATTATATATGTTACTATCTTGTTCAGGAAAATGCAACTGACAAGAAGCAGTAATAGATGATCAAACGGCTCTGGATGATGAAGGTAAGCCACTCTATAAGATCGGAACGAAGATTAAAGGTAAACGTCCGGAGCCATCACGAGAAGAGGCCCAGGCAATGGGCTGGAAGCGTGTCGAGACATGTAAGTTGTTCGAAGCATGATTTTAATCTGGGTCATTGAACTGACATGAGTGAACCCTGCTTTCAGATGGCGTTAAACACATTTGCAACCTGGCAATTTGCGACAAGAAGCGTTACACAGACTACTGTGGTCCTGAAAAAGCGACCAAAAATGCTGATTCTTTGGCATTATTCGCTCTGGCAATGTCAGTTTCGTTTGTCATAAAAGCCGACCGATGTCAGCCAAACTAACACCAATGAAGGTACTATGATAAGTGGGATTGGAGTTCTGGTGCTCGCGCAAAAGAGCCAGGGTCTAAAAAGAGGCCAAAGAATGAGGAAGGGGGAAATTCACAACAAGATGACTAACTGACTAAAGTATCCAGAGCATTGGAGAGAGGACGAGTACATATTTGACATTTTGTTATCATTTGCAATCTAACTTGTTTTTTAAAATATCTGGTTGTGTTTTTGAGTACGATGTCAGATCAGACAGGACAATACATGGCTGGCTAGTGTGACTTGAAGAGGATGTGCCTTGGAGAAACTGACTGATTCTAAGAACCGGGGCCGGGGGGTGATACTGGCTTCAGTGCGTTGGCGCCATGTGATCAGCAGATCGCCCCGCTTTTGCTAGGCGCCAGCCAGTATGTCTGAAACAAAACAAATGTAACATTGCATAAATCAGTTACCAACGACCAACACTTCTATAATGCCAGCCACAAATCCGCCCATGAGCTTTTCCAACTATTCTCTCTCATCATCTCACGTCTACTGAGTCGATTTTGGAATGGAATACAGGCCAAGACCGGAAAATAGACACAAGACGGAAAAGTGGTGGAATGAGTTTTGCGAGGCTCGAGTCAAACAGCTTCCAATTCTACCCAATCCTCGACCCCGCGCTTTGACGCCGAGTCTGACTCCAGGCGAGGATGGTATCTCCAATTCAGCACCTAGACCACTGTACCAAGAGTCCTGCTTCTGGTTCCAGGTTCCACCCAATATCCGAAGAGATATTCTGCGACTTGCCTTTGGAGATACACGCCTTCACATTTACCTGTATTATCAGCATCCCAATGTTCCTCCAGATCAAAGCTCCAAATATCACTGTAGATTGGTCACAGAGCCGGAAAATTGGGGCAACAAGCGCTTTCCAGTGACTAATCAGAGCCAGGCAGAGGGATGGCAGTGGCGGGGCTCTAGATGCCATCGTTACCCCCCCCCCCCCCCCCAACATGGCGAAAAACCTAGGCCCAATGACTTACCGTGTTTTAGAAGGCCCGTGGGATGACTACTGCTGCAATGGCGGTGGCCCAGATATCTGTGAAGCTTGGAGAGAGGAAGAAGGCTCTTCTGCGTGCAGTATCGGGGTCATGGGTTGGCTCTTGTCATGTAGGCAGAAGTAAGCGGCACTCTCATTTGTTCTCAATCCTATCATTTGTCATAGCGCTGACAGATAACCGCAGCTACATGGAGACGATTGAAATCTTGTACTCTACCAACACACTGATACTGGGTGAAGTATGCATGGTCGAACATCTTGCCTCCCTTATCCCCCCTCAGCGATTGGAGATGATGACTTCTCTGGAAATCACATGGACGCTTAAAACGCACTACACCGCCAATCAGGACTACGATGATATGGATGAGAGTCACCTGAAACTTGTATTTGATCTTCTATCACCTTCAAAATTCCCTGCACTCCGTCGACTTTACATATGGTTCGCCAAAGGCCGGCCCGGCTGGCTTGCTGTTAATCGTGTTGAGGCATATGAGAAAACCATCTTGGAGCAATTGGACCTTTTTGCGAAGGGAAGAACCAATCTACAAGAATGTGCATTTGCTCTTCCCGGGTGCTTCTTCGAAAGGATAGACGCTGCTGCTAGAGGTATTACTCTAGACGAAGTGGAAGAATGGGAAATGCTCCCTAGAGGTCCTCCTCATCGACAAGTCTGGCGAGATGTTAATGGGGATATGACTGTTTTACAGTTGCCATACGTAGATCGCTATCCAAGAGCTCCTTATCACATCCCCGTGAGGGATGTTCAGGTTGCAGGATATTGGATTCTTGAATCATCTTACAACGATCTACCTGCTTATCGCAGGACTAGCCCACCTCCTCCATGTTTCTATCCCGCTAGCAGTTCATCATACCACCAGGGAGGCTTACCCCGCGATCGATCACGAGAAAACTCCTTGTCACCAGGATACAGTCCTATTTCTCCCGGATTCAGTCCCACATCACCAACCGGCTCCGATCAACCTGGCGCCACTGAGATAGATCATACATAGAAGTCGATAACAAACTATTGGCGATTCAATGGGCCTGTAAACCTACCAGAATCATCTTTCGTGTAGACCTATTCACTATTTTATCAACAGCCTCTTTATTCTAAGTATTGATAATTATTAATCCTCGTCTAGATGCTAGAGGTAATAAAGACTTTTTTTTGGGATGACGATGGTTCTGTGCCGTGAATGAACAGACTTTCAAGCATTCCCTTGTGTCCCAGAGCTACCAGCATTGCCATATATGTCCTTATAGGCACGTTCCCATATCTTGGGTTCAGCTCCCATGTACTTGTCAAAGAATTTCTCTACGTGATTGGTCTCCCCACACGACTGCTGGCAGGAATCTTTGCCTGGCTCCTGAAGGTCGTGGCAAAATTTGCATCTCCCTGTTCAGCTCATTTGCTCAAAATTACAGTTGTTGCACTGGCAATTCTTCTGGGTGCCTGTTTTCGAGACGGGTTAGGGACATGACATGCATTTTCCCATCCCAAGCTTTCCCTCTAGAGTTGCGTTACACCAAAGGCACGATTTTGAATCGTCTTGCGTTTCCCTGATTTTTCATTTCTCGGAGACACCTTCCAGGATAAGAACTTTCTTTTTTTCAGCGCTGAGAGGACCTATGCGTTGACGGTTGGCCCTGCTGGTGAGTTCGCAGAAACGGCAGAAGATTGCTGCGCCGAAGGTTGGGGTGGCACATATCACGCACCATTCTGACGCTCTAGAGTCTTCTGATTCCGTGGACGTTTTGGACGAAGTATCGCGAGGAGTTTCGGCTTGCTTCTGCCAGCAAACTTGGCATCTCAAACTGAACCAGGGGTCTATCTTGATTCCACAGCCAAGCCAATGTGTACCGCCTTCACAATAGATGAGTTCCTGTGCCTTGGTTTTCATGTTTTCGGTATGAATTGTTACAGTCCGATCTTGATCAATGCTAAAGCTGTGCTGGAATCGATAGTGATATCGGAATCTGTCATTGTTTGTAGCAAAATCGCTGCAACAAGCAGGGAGCTATATAGCTCATAATGGACGTTTTTCTACCCACAGTCGACCTCAAGTCAGCTTTCACAGCCGAATAGAAAGCTCGCGAAGTGTCATTGACTTAGTGAGGAACTTTCTCGTGGATTGATCTACGTTCACTGCAGCGCCAGCCTGGAACGAAAACCCAAATACCATTTGGACTCTCTGCCTGGGACTGTGACTCGAGTAACGCAAGCTTTGATTCATTATGGCATCCCCCGTGTGTCGGATCTCTTTAGGAAACATGTCTGATTGAAAGCCATTGGCGATGGTGCTCAGTGATTCTTTTTGGGATCCATGTCAGCACTTCAAAGGCATTCACCACCGCTCTGTAGATCCGGGTATGAGAGTAGACCTGGATTGGGGGCCACACCTAAGGTCAAGGGAAGTCTAGGATTAAATATGCAACTCTATTGACCCTATTTCTAGAATACGATGGCCCCTCCGTCTACGACAATATCCGTCCCGTTCATGTAAGTTCCCGCAGAGCTTGCCAGCAGCACCACCGCACCCGTCAACTCGCAAGGAGCACCCATGCGGCCGCTGGGGTTCCGTTCAGCCCAAATCTTGCGATGCCCAGATATCCCGTCGCCCTCATTCAAGATAGTATCCATATACCCTGGACTGATAGTGTTGGTGCGAATGCCATAGCGAGCCCACTCCGCAGCCAGACAGTTCTTAAGCGTCAATAATGCTGCTTTGCTGACATTATAAGCCGCTTGGGGTTGGGGATAGTTAACCCGGTGTGCTGAGATGGAAGACGTGAAGGTAATTGATCCTCCAGTGCCTTGCTTGACCATCTGACGGGCTGCAGCTTGTGCACAAATGAACGACCCAGTCGTGTTAATGTCAATAATCTTGCGCCACTGAGATACAGGCATTTCCAACGTCTCGACACATCCAACGACACCGACAAAGCAGACCAGACCGTCGACGGAGCCGAGAGTTGCCACTGTCTCCTCAACGGCGTCTTGTACTGCCTTTTCGTCTGTAACATCGACCTTCATTGTCATGATTCTGGCATGAGGGAAACGTGTTTGAAGAGAGGCGACCTCGTCCTTAGCTTGTGCGGGATTAACATCGAGGATTGCGAGACCTTCAAGTCCATGTTCCAACAGAGCGTTGCATGAAGCAAGTCCAAGGGTACCTGTGCCCCCAGTAACGATGAAGTTTCCGCGCACTGAAAATCGCTCTTTGGCCCCAGTGACTGGATCAATCGCGGTTTTGTTCCTTGGTGGTGCAGTCAAAGACAATGCTGAGCCGTCGCTGAGAATCATGGAGGGGACTGCTCTCGCAGTAAGCGCGTCCCTACCAGGAAGCTCTGTAACACCAGGAGCCATTTTTGTTACGTCTATAAATCGGAGAATGCAGGAACGATGTTAGAGTGAGTGTAGATGATCTGATCTGTGAGGTTCACACGAAAATCACCTTTATAACCTGGAGGAAGTACCCCACGTCCGATGCTTCGTCGGAGTACTGTCACCCGAGGAGTTACAAAGGCTGTGCATACAACGGTGGAGACGAGGTCTAATAACAACCCCAAGTTCAGCTCTTGTTCTATTGAGTTTTCTGCAATGCTCCAACTTCTCTACCGCGTCATTTCTCTGGCTCTTTCTGGCCCATATCACAATGGATGATATCTACGCACAACTTGAGCGACGCACCCTGAGCCTTTTGCAGCAATTACACCAACGGTCCTCAGATGCCAGGTCTATTATTATTCTGGCTGGCCCTCCAGGATCGGGAAAGTCAACTATCGCTTCTCAAGTCGTACAGAGGATCAATTCCCTCCACCGAACTCCGATAGCAAAAGTTCTTCCAATGGATGGATATCATTACTCGCGGTCGCATCTCGACAGTCTCCCAAACCACGTTGAAGCTCATGCACGAAGGGGAGCATATTGGACATTTGACGGTCAAGCGGTTCTTGGTATGGTCAAGCAATTACACGAATCACGAGAGAGGCCATTCGCTACGTTGTATATGCCGAGCTTCGACCATGAGATAAAAGACCCGGTTCCTGATGCCATTGTGATAAGCCCAGATGTCAAGATTGTTTTGGTGGAAGGCAATTGGCTCCTGTACAATCAGCACCCCTGGAATCAGATTGTCAATTATGCAGATGATACTTGGTTCGTTGATGTCGACCCTCAATTGGCATTACAAAGAGTTGCGAAAAGGCATGTTGCATGCGGTATTGAGAGGACACTAGAGACGGCGATGGGTAGAGCAAGGAACAATGACATGAAGAATGGGGAGGATATACGGCGTGGTCTGATTCAGCCCAACATCATCGTCAAAAGTGTTCAAGACGCGTGAACTACTCTAGTTGCCCTTAGTCAATAAAAAGAAATTTAGGTTCAATAAGATCATGAGGCTGATTGGTCAACTTGGAGCTTCTAGTCACCCCCCATATTTGTCGGTCTCCAGGCCTCCGAAGGTGGTTACTCCGCACTTGGTGGCTGTTGCAACTGTCGGCCAACAGTGCTCCGATGAACGAATGACGCTAGTTTCGAACCTTGCCGTCATGATAACTCCCCCTTCTCTTCGTGACAACACTTGCATATGCGAGACTAAAGATGGGTCGTCCTCCGATGCACGGTTCTTCGAGCCAACCTCGAGCTTGTCTCAATTGCCAGAAGCGCAAAAGCCGATGCCAACCTAGCGTCAATGGCCCTGGGCCTTGTTCATACTGCGCCCGCGCGGGCAAGGACTGCAGCTTCGTGAATCCACCTGATCGGACACGGCTTACGCGGAAGAACCTCGATGCGATGGAGCTTCGCTGTAATAAGCTTGAGGCTCTGATTCGGTCGCTGCATCCTGATATGGATATTGATGCTGCTCTCGCTAACCTAGAGTCTGGCCAACAAGTCATCAGACGAACTGAGCCAGAGTCGGACGATGACTCTCCTGAGCACGAGGAGCCAGCGCATGAGTATGAGTGGAGTGAGCCATCATTACCACCAGATTTCGACAGCCAAAACGATGAAGCCGCGGCTATGGATGGTATGGCTACGCTGAACAGCCTTGATGCTGGATATTTAGGTATATCGGCCCATCATCCATCCCACCATCTCACCAAATGGTTCGGAATCTAACTCCCACCAGGCAGTAGTTCGGGTGCAAACCTGCTACAAGAAATCGCATCAATGCTTCCAGAACTCGCGGCATCAAATTCCCCTGCCACGAGTCATGGAAAGTCTCCCAGCCAAACACATAAGTCAAAACCATCCCTTGATCCGCCGAACCTAGCAAACGAATCATTGACAAATTATTTCGTCGATGCCTACTTCTTATTCTATAATGTATCATATCCAATTCTTCACGAGCGATCCTTCCGCCAGAAACTTGCCGCTAGGGGCATGCGACGTGGCAAGTCATCGTGGAATATCATCTATTACCTTGTGTTAGCCATCGGGCACTGGATATCAACGTCGGATAGGCACCACGCAGGTTCGCGATTCTACACGGCTGCGAGGAACTCGTTGTCAATCCATATGCTAGAATCTGGTACGCTTGAAACCTTGCAAGCGCTTCTTCTGATGAGCAATTATTTGCAGAAGATGGACAAGCCAAACACAGGCTATCAGTTCACAGGCATTGCGTACAAGATGGCCCTTGGACTTGGAATGCATCGAGAATCGCCGAAGCTACAAGATAACGTTGGACTTGAAAGACGGAGACAGTTGTTCTGGGTCCTTTACTGCTTCGATAGCGGGTTCAATATTACAACAGGGAGACCGCCATATGCGCAGGAAGGTATCATTGATACCGCCATACCAAGAAATATTGACGACAAGGTAATTCATTTTTCCTGTAGCGGCGTTGATCGTGATATGCATACTAACAACAGCAGGACCTCGAACCTACCATGCCCCTCCCTGCTGAACTCGACACACCAACGACGCTATCTGCCATCATCGCACAAGCAGAACTTGCGAAACACGCAAATTCGCTATATTTAGAGTATCTCGCCGCGAAGA